ACCCAACAGAATCCCAAAAACTCTCTCTCTCTAAAATAAGTCTCTCACTTTTATGTTGACGTCCACAAGCATCTTAGGTTGAAGCCTGCATGGAAAAGCTTTGTACACCCCTTAGCTCCGCATCTGCATTTCGAACTATACTTCTCATCCCTTATTTTTCTCACCAAAAGATCTAGGGCCTCGACCAATGCTGCATCTATCTTATCCTTAGCAGTCATCACTTCTAATGGGTCTTGACCATCCAATTCAAATTTTATTATTGCACTTTGAAGGATCCAACACATAGGAAAATATGAACCCTGATATCGGCATCACCATAAAAAAGACTCTCCTTTTGCACAAAAACTTCAGCTCTCCCCTTCGTCCATGGTTGAATCAATCAACACTACCAGTTTAGTGAGAAAAACCCATAGACCAAGGAAGCACTGCCAAAGGTCTCATATTCGCTTTCGACTTATTTGTTCTTTGTCGAGTCATGTTTTGACTCTCTGCTGAGTCGTGTTTCGACTCTCTACAACATAACTTTTATCTCTGTTCTGGCCTGTGTTCTGGATTGCGAGTTGTTGAATCTGTCTTGAACATTGAGTTGTTGAATCCGTCTCGTACTGCGAGTTGCTGAATCTGTCTCGAACTGCTAGTTGCTGAATCTGCTCGGATCCACACCGAGTTCTGTTAGCTCGTCTAAGTATCATTATGGGCTTGTTGTTCAAGCAATCTAAGCATGAAGACCACTGTTTTTATTTGTTACACTATGCACGTGAAAACTTAAAGATCCAACTCATTCGTTTATGCAATTCATTGTTCAAACTCCAAATGCTTTATGTAAAGTATCTTGAGTTTGAGGGAGAGTGTTCACGTATATATATCTCGTTGCTTTGTGTAAAAGCATCCTGAATTTGAGGGGGAGTGTTAACGTATATATATATCACTTGATAAGATTATTTGTTTAGGACTATGATAAGATTAGTTAGTAATTATCAATAACTGTTGGTGTCTATCGAGAACTGTTACTAGCCTATATTTATATGGGGTCTTGTATATTATTTATTAATCAATAAAGATAGAGTTCTCGTATTATGTGTTTTTAATTATATGGTCTAGAACAAGCACCTCAAGCATAGTTCAAAAAGTTCTGTTCTGCCATTACTTGTAGAGGGTTTACTCAAAGTCATCATGGTTCGACCTTATTTGTTAGACAATCATCTGATGGTATTCTTCTGGCGTTGTTATATGTTGATGGCATGATCATCATATGAATGATCACAATGGCATCTGTGATACCAAACTTCATCTTCGTAGATGCTTCAAAATGATCTTGGCTACCTCTGTAATTTATGGAAAATAGAGGTGGAGTCCTCTTTGTGTGGATATATTCTATCTCGAGTAAAGTATGCAACTCATATTCTCACTAGGGTTGGTTTGACTGACACAAAGATGGTGGACACTCTGTTGGAATTCAATGTTAAACTTCGCCTTACTAATGGTGACCTCTATCCGATCCTACAAGATATCGACAACTAGTTGGTAGCCTCAACTATTTAACGATTACTCGTCCGAATATCAAACATGTTGTCCACATTGTCAACCAATTTATGTCACCACCTTGCTCTGTTCATTATACTACAGTTCTTCGAATTCTGCGATATCTTCGTGGTATTCTATTTTAGGTAGTTCTTTCTTTTACTTCTTTTTTTGAATTACGTGCTTATTGTGATGTCGATTGGGCAGGGGATGTTACAAATCGTCATTCCATCACCGGATTTTGTGTTTTTCTTTGAGACTTCCTTATTTCCTGGAAAAAGTAAGAAACATAAAGTATTTGCTCGTTCTAATGCTTCAGGCACTTGCTTACACTACTTCAGAAATTATCTGGTTATGATGGTTGCTTCAATATATGGGTCTCTCACACTTTGGTCCTACTTCTCTTTTATGTGATAATAAAAGTGCTGTTGAAATAGCGTATAATGATGTATTTATGAGCAGACAAAGCATATTGAAATTGACATTTTGTTTGTTATCATCAACTCCCTTTTATTTGTTATGAGCATCAAATGGTAGGTCTCCTTACAAACACTCATCCAACTATGTGGTTTCACTATTTATTGTCCAAACTTCAGTTGCTCTTTTTTTAAGGCACCTTGGATTTGAAGAGGGGTGTTGAAAATAAAAAGTGTATAATGTGCTACTATGGTATATGAAAACCGGCTTATATAGGGAAAGGTGTAACACGATTTCGTAAGGTGGCTTTGTGTTGTGCAAGACCTCTTATTGTATATAATAATGAGAATTGTTAATAAAGTACACACTTTTTTGTGTCTGCATATCTGAGTCTTCTAACAGAGTAATGGAAAACTGTGAAATGTATGATCAATCAACAAGCAGTTATGTGGAAGTTTTACTCTCATGCAATAGTCGGCTCAAATGTAAAAGACTTCATAGCAAAAAGGAAGTTTACAAACAAGGTCCTTGATAGAATTTTGGTCCGGCCTAACATAATCTGGGTGACTTACCAAGAAAAAAATCAGAGGGCAAAACAGAATCAAAATCAATCCCTCCAAGCCGTAATACTAAGAAAGAGAATTGAAAAATTAGAAATTATATCCCAAATACTTTTATACCTCCCAAAAGGTAAAATTATTACTTACAAGAGATGAGAGATGTCTCTTATGCATGAGTGAATTAAGTGCGTAGTACTCTTGAGTATATTTTGTGAGAATATTTGTAGAGAGCTCGCACCATTTACCTCAAGCCCCTAACTAACTTAGTGGGAGAAAAAGGAAAATAAAAGGGAAAATATACCCTAATTTTTATCTATTTAAAAAAAAAAAACCGATCAACTTTCATAAACCTCCCCCACATCTTTTTTTTTCAATTTTGAGTTTTTTTTACCAAAATAACCTTCCACAATTACGGTAATTTAAGTATAGTAAAAACTAACCTATGTTATATGGCATTTTAAGTACCGTAAAAACTAACTCATGTTATATGGCATTTTAAGTACCGTAAAAACTAACCCATGTTATATGACATTTTAAGTACTGTAAAAATTAACCCATGTTATATGGCATTTTTAGTACCGTAAAAAACTAACCCATGTTATATGGAATTTTTAGTATAGTAAAAACTAACACATATTATACAGCACTCGAAATGTCGTTAACCCTTTTATGTGTATCTCTTTCATCTCTTGTTCGTTTTATATTTATCTCTTCTTTTCTTTCTAATTCTTTT